ATAATAAAATAATATTAAAAGTTTAGGAGAAATTACGAAAATGCCATTGGGACTTTCCTATAAATAGGGAAGCTGAAAACCATAATTTTCATCCCAAATCTTCTTCTCTTCTCTCTTCCTCTCTTATACACCTTGAGATCTGTTCTCGGTAGTAGTAGTCTCCTAATTCAAAGGAGTAAGTTATAGAGAGAGAAGTGTTGTAATTTCCTCCCTTTCAGTAAATAATATTTTTACTGTGGTTATTTTCTCCCTTGTCTCTTTTTTACTCATCTCTTATTTTAGCTGTGAGTAACTATTAAGCCTACTCTGGACCTAACACAATTAAGGGGAATCTCAACACTATTTGACAGGATGGGATTTCATCCAACAATAAGGTGTTTAAAAAAAAGTACCAACACTCTCGTGTTGTTTTCACTGTTTTCCTTACGTCCTTGTAACCACCCATTTCAGAAGTAGAAAGGAAAATTCCACTGCTTTGTAATAGTGCAGCAAAGGTTTATCTTATTTGAGTAAGAATTTGTGGGATAGGCTTGTTTTCTTGGCTTCTCTCATGAGTGTTCTCAAGGAGTTTATTTTTGGTATGAACTCACCAGCTTTAGTTCTTTTCGTCCCTTTTTTGTCTGTTCTAGTTGTTTTCTTTTAATGTCCATCATCTTGCTTTCTCTTAATGGATTGTAGATATTGAGGAAACATATACTTTCTGGATTAAGAATTTGAGGCACCAAAACAGAAAAATAAACAATGCAAAATTAATCAAATTTCAAGAGAAAAGATTGCACCAATTAGTACCCCATAAAAGTGCTTACAACTAGAATTTGAAGTTTGCTGCTTCGACGAACAGCTGCATGTGAATGATAAGTTGAAGGGTGATACTCTTGGAAGAAGCGTCCAACAACATCGGAACAGGTGCTTCCAAGTGGAACAGGAATACCTCTTACTAATATAGAAAAGTGATGAGGCTGAGGCTTGGATGAATAGAAGCAAGCAATTCTTTTTGATGAAATATACGCATACTCCTGTATATGACATTAACATCAATCTTGAAATTCAATCACTATCTTTATAAATTATCAGAACTGGAAAATTTTGATGCATGTAGAAAGCCAACTTGAACAGAAATAACTTACATAATAAAGAAGAATGCAGACAACTCCAGTGAAAATATAAGTGGCACAAAAATGGATCCATAACCTTGAGAAAGGCCAAATCTAGCGATCAGAGTTACCATGTTATAACTTAGATAAAAATCAATAACACTAGTGAAGAAATCTTTCATTCACACAAATTGAGTACTTACAACAACAAACAAATAATTTTTTGTAATAAGTGCTAGGATGGACTTGCATATTTTGGGGAAGAAAATAAGTACTTAAAAACCAGGACTTCCTATTGGGAAAAATCCAAGTCCTACATCAACTAGAGATAAGATAATTTAAGTGTATATAAATGAGGAACAATCCTTACATTACAAGCCAGTTTTGTAAGGTTGAGTTAGACTTTTAATCCATTTTCTTAAGACTTCCCAATGTAAATGCATCAATGACAATGGTAAATCATTCATGCTAGCAGAGCTTCCTCTTCCATTCATGTGAGGACACAGGAAGATCGGATGAAGATTTGAAACCACAATGGTATAACATTTAATTGAGAAATGAAAAAATGATTGAGAAGATAATTGTTGAATGCAACCCGCAATTTCTAATGAATAAGTGATACCTAAAGACTAGAGAGTTAAAACCATCTTGATCCATAATATTCACCTGTTTGAACCATTGTTAACATTAGAAATACTGAAGGAATCCAAAGACTTGTTTTGAAAAACAGAATCATCACGAAGCTGACTCCCCATACAATTAATTGGAAGAAGAATGAGTAGCCCCACAATTCCACCAAAAGTAAATATTTTTAAACTGCACAATACCACAAAGAGGGGAAAATATCAGTAAACAAAAAAAAAAGAGTGATCCCTTCAAATAACATACAGCTTGATGACAGGAAATACAAAGACCAATACATATTTTGAAGAAATGCAGATATTAAAGTAGTCCGTAACTCTGGTTACATATGGATATATTATATCATATTGGCGAAAAAATTAAAAGTCAGTCCAAGTTAACTAATGAATATACATTTGAATCAGATTTACAAAAGCATATAATCAATAAAAGTCACCTAAATACAAATATTCGCATGAAGACAAAAGCATCCAAGCCTGCTGTTGATAAAAATTCTTCTTCAGAGGTCTCCCATGCTTTTCTCACCCAATCAGTAGTAGGTAACGAACGTTTTCCTTGAGAAACTAAGCGTGGTGCATAGACGGTAATATTACAAGGTTGCTTCCTCAATATAGTGTAGAGGGTGAAAAATATAGAACATAGGCCAAAGTTAATTCCAACTGATGTTAGAAGAGCAGAGAGAATCATTATTGAAATCTGGTTCAAAACCAGCAAATCAACTCAGTACACCTGACAACACAATTGTAGTCCTGACTCCTGAAATCAAATAAAATGAATAAGGAATGCACATCCAAAGAATAAATTTGAACCAGCCCATTATATTAAAGTGGAATCACAACAAGACAATATCACCTCACAGAAGAAGGAGAAAAAAGAAGAAAAAAAAAGCAACCATTGTCACTTAATTTTTTTTTTAAGAATACTAGCCATTCAAATGCACTTGTTGACGTGTGATTTTAGTTTTTTTCAATATATCTCCTCAAGTCCAATATTATTATGCTTGGTGCATAGATAATATGATGAGTGGTCTTCTGCTGTTAGCTTAGATAGCAGAGAATGTTACCTAGATAGATTAAGTTCTGGACTTTTCAAAAGTTAAGTATTGTATGTAGCATTAGTGTTTATGTTAATGTCCTTATATTGCATTTGCATTCAGCCATCAAGTTTGCGCCATCATCAACATTTGAGTCTATACAGTGCACAATATACTAGCAATGCAATGGACTGATTAATTATTGAACTTTTACAAGTATCTTGCACACAAATCTTCAATTAAGTTGAAAATCTATAAACAAAAACCTCGAGACATTCTTATTCTAGGCAAATACGATAACATAATGACTCGATGAGCATTATAGATAAACTAAAACCAAAAAGAAAGCTTATAGAGTCACAAACCCCGAGAACTGCGTTAAGGGCAGATTATATCTTTGTCAAATGTAGTCTTAAAAACTTCTATTAATTCATACATCCACTAATTCAACGTGAAGGTAGAACTGTGTAAGGTTGGTACAAGATTGCAGTTTCATATTTCAACATTTTTTTTTCATAGATACACAGTGTTTTAAAACTGACAATGGACTAATCTACGCTGTCAGGACAAGTCTTAGAACTACTAGTTCGAGAGGCTCGTTATCAACGGGTTTCCTCGTATAATATTTCAACGAGTTTGCGCCGATATATTGAGAGATCACGAAACGGATCTGCATCCATAGATACCTTTGACCGTTTCTAACAAAATCCTAAGCTGTGCTGTTTCAAAAAAAAAATGTACTTCAAATAATTGCTCCATAGATCCTATATCTATCTATATATGCATTTTAGCATGGAACATGGAAGGATACGTTGCTTTACAAATCTTTGGTAGATTCATAATGAAACAAAGATCATATAGAGTATAGACCAAATGATAAAAATCGAAGAATTTGTGTAGAGAGAACCTGACTATGAAGCAGAAGAGAGAAAAATCATTGAGTGTTGCACGCAAAAATAACGATACAAATTTATACAAGGAATTTGTGTATGAACATGAACATGAACAAGATCGAGAACATGGGTCCCAACATAAAATAAAATAAACTACCGAGGTTGTTCTCCCGCATTTTTTGGTGGCGATCATGAAACCTCACGTCCACGTGTCAATGCCTCGTTTGTTTGTTTCTGTTGGCTTCGCCATCTTTCTCTTAATACACAAATAAACGTTGCTTTTGACACAGTGGTACGTGTTCGGGAACGAAAATGCGAAAGTTCCTTAATACGTGTTTTGGGGGTGAAAATATGAGTTTCTGTTCATTTTTTTCTTTCAAAGAACATGTGATCTTTGAGTTTGAGAACTACTATCAACGTTTTTTCCTTCTACTTAACCGGGATTAAAGTAAATTATATTGATGTACTTACCTTTGTGTGATGCATTAAATATATTATTAATTAAAAAAGTAAAACTAGATAAATATCTTTCTTTTACACTACCAAATAAATATCTTTTAAAAACTTGTAAAAATAATATTAAATATAATAAAACTTAGAGACATTATATTGTAATATAAAAAAAGTGTATAAGTTATTTAAGATAAGAAATGTTATAACACATTTCCTTAAACATACTTGTTAATTAGTTAAAATTTATTGAAAAAAAGATTTGGTGGATTTCATACCCCTATTTTATGATTCTTGTAATTTTCAATAAATTATAATTAATAAAAGTGAATGCATTAATATGAGTATGTTAGAATAGAATAACATTAATTGACATAAATAATAAGTAATAGTGGTCTGTGTCCCTTAATTAAAATGTCTAAAGTTTAAATTCTGATTATGTGAAATAGACTATATTGAAAAGGGAATTAATCACTTAATCACTACTTATTTTATCATGGTTATTCAAAAATAAAATATATTAGAGAATATGTTAGTGAATCTATTATAATATTACATTTTCTTATCAATATTTATGTTAATCGTGTAATTAAAAGACTATGTTGCAAGGTACTACACTTAGAAACCACTTTGGTTGGTCCAATTGTAGGTGTAGAAGTAGCATGTATAATGTGATCATTGTACAACTAAGAGTGTCAAATTGGGTGGTCCAATCAATCGGTTTGTCTATCCACCACTAGCTTGCAAAAAATAAAAATAAAAAATAGTGACGTAGTTTGCTTATTAAAAGTGGGTTAAAATTTTTGAATCACCTAAACTAAAAGAAAAATTATATCATCATTGACAATTACAAATTTAATTAAAAGATTTATTGTATTAATTTGTCTTTTAACTTCAAAGTTACAACGTAATATTAAATTAAAAATTATTAAAAATCTTTTTCTTTCAATTAAAATCACTATTTATTTTCAACACACAAAATCATAATAATAATTCTTAAGAACTATAACACAATTACTAATAATCATTTAATAATAAAATTATACAACATAAAATTTACAAAGTAAATATAAATAAATTTATAATGTCATGAAAAGATAAAAACATAAATCATTTTTCATGTTCAACTTAAGAACATTATATCAATTCTTGGAAGAAATCTCTTCCACTTTCTTGAGAAAGAAATCCTTTGCGATTAATTTAGAAACCATAATCTTTTGTATTGTAAAAATTGAATTACACAATTGATCTTATCCAAAATGGGTAGATTAACATAAATGATTGACTATTGGGATTGAAAAATAATTAAAATCGAATAGAAATTTACTTTTTTATGTAATAAAAAAAAGTGACAAATCGGTCTAGGATGCAAAAGTGATTTTTAAAATAATAAAAGTTTAAGATAAGAGCTTTGTTATTTAAGGGGGCTCAAACTTTTTCCTTCACATTAAGATATTATTATTAAAAAAATATCATATAGTATTATATATTTTATAATAACGTAATATTTATTATTAGAAAATATTTTTGCTTACATTATATATATAATATATATTAATATATTATTAAAAAATATAAATTATAGTGTTATAATATATAATATTAAATCTCATTCAAAAATTAATACTAAAATTATGTGTAATTATAAGAAATAAATTTATACTAATATAAAATATAATGACATTTTTTTATTTATTATTATATGTGATATTTCTTGTAGTGTTAACACAATGTTCAGTAAACTAGAGCTAATGCATGTTATGTCTTGCAAATATAATATACAAATATAATTTTATTATATTTTTTATTTTAAATTATGTTAACTATATAATTTTTTTAAGAAAAATTAATATAGATCAATTTATCAATTTAACAAGTGATCCTTCAGTTTAACTATTAAACCAATAAATCACTGTCTAGATTAGATTGATGATTGATTATATTTTAACAAAATTATTCTCTCTCACACAAAAATATTACTATTAGAAAAATAAATAATGTATAAAACTGGAGTATTAAAGATATGAGAAATGGTATATAGACACTCAAATCTTTTGGAATATGACATCATGCATTTCTCTATATTTTTCTCTTATTATTATATTTTTTTTATAGATAAAATATAACTCCTTCGTATCATATCAATTTTTATAAAAACAAAATAGTAGTATCTCTAGTCACGCTACTTCACATTTCTCTCTTCTAAAAACAAAAATGAAGGTGGAGGCACCAAATATTAAACTTGACACGTGTTTTGCGGATATGCATTCACGTAGAAGAGGGCGCAACATGAGTCATCCACGTCAAGCCTCAACAAAGAAACATGCAGCGTTGTCAACGTCATCGTCATCGTCATCCTACTTAACCTGCGCTGTTCCTTTTGTGTCTCCGGCAACCTCAGCTGCATGCTCAATTGTTATTATTATATTCATAGATATATAGATAGGTGACTTTGCGTATTGAAATTTTGTTGAGTTGAAGAGAGTTTGGAGAAAATGAGTGGGGAGTTTGAGGGATATGAGCGGCAGTATTGCCAACTTTCAGCTAATCTATCAAAAGCATGCATAGCAGCTGCTCCTCTCGATGGAGGTACTTCAATTTCCTTTTCTTCTATGCCATTTTTATTTTTCCTCACTTTTCGCACCTCAAATATATTTTGTTTAAGAGTTTAATTTTGATCAACAGTTCTGCAAGTGTAGAAGTTGTTTACGTATATCATGTGTTGACACTTTGTTGGTAGTTTTGATCATTGTAAAACTCAGTTACATATTGCGTCAGTACATGAGTGGACGATAATGCAAATATTTTGCAACGAGTCAAAAGTGAATCATATGTTTAATGCAATATACCAATGAGCTTTAACTCGATTGAAGTTGAATAATATGTGTGAGTATTGTAAATTTCTTGCTAATGTAATTATTTTTTCAATGATCAAAACCATATCTATCTATTTATAAGAATTTGGTTTATGTCAATAGTCCTCGTTGATAGTAAAAAACCTGAAATAATGCTCAAATTTTGTAATTTTCGAAGACTTGTGTGTTTCTGCCCCCATTATAGAGCAATTTCTTCTTCTATAAAATGGTTCCTGGTAGGTACCATAGTTATTTCAAATGCATTCTTCTTCATGCTTGATGCCCCTCCTCATTTTTTTATCTTTTTGTTACACTTACAGGGTGCTAGGTGGGGGAACATTTACTGCACTTTATTCCAGTCATCATCTTCGTTGTTATCAACATATAATAATGGGAATTCTAATACTCATTTTATTAGATAAGGTCATTTGGAATACCAGAAAATCCAATGGATTTTAAAATATTTCATCATATACCTTCTTAACAGAAAAATGACAAACATTGAAAATGTGATCAAGAGGAATGATTGAAACTTATGATTTCATGCTAGAGCAATGTGTATATATATACTTTTTAATTTGTTATTTTCTGTTCCATTTGTAGAGCAAAAGAAACAAAAAATTTCAGAAATAAAGGAGGGAATTGAGGAGGCAGAAGCTTTGGTATCCTCTTCACTTATATTTTGGGTTGGAAAGATACTTTCCTTTCTTATGTATTCTGGTTTTCTAATTTGGTCACGTCACGCTTATGAATTTGTAGATTCGAAAAATGGACCTTGAGGCAAGAAGTTTACAGCCGGACCTTAAGACTCTGCTTCTTGCTAAGGTGCGGGAGTACAAAGCAGATCTGAACATCATTAAAAGAGAAGTGAAGAAAATTGTATCTGGTGACTTAAACCCTTCTGTACGGGATGAGTTGTTGGAATCCAACACGACAAATGTTATGATGGTATGGCTCATTTTTTATTTAACATTTGTTACTGATGTTGAAGGACAATTCATTGTCCTCTGAAACCACTGCGAGGCAACAATTTGCTCTTCCTTTTCCTTTATGTTTTGTTTATATGCACTAATTGGTTAGTGGCTTACTATTGCTAAAGTGGCCTTTTCAAGCAGTCCATGTTACTGCCACATTAACACTACTAATCCCTTACTGACCAATTAGTTGTTTCATAAAATAAGGAATGTCTTAAAGCTATTTGAATGGGAGGGTCGTCAAGATTAGAATATATGGACTTAGATACTAGTACTTGACCCTCACTGACCAATAAGCAATTTTTCTGTATTTATTGTCTTCTGTTTTATATTTGCTTATGTTGAATAGCTTGATATGCTTTAGCTTCTTTCATTAAGGATGCATCAAGGTGAATGAAGCTTAGACTGTCATCTTCACCGAAAATTTTGAACATTTATAAATATTCTGTAGTATTCTTTTGATGTGTGAACTGCAACTATTCAAGAAGTCAAAACAGAAGATCAGTTATATTATATATATCAGTTTCCACATCAAGAAGCACAAAGAGAGAAATAGAAGTAATCTAATTATATATAAGTTGAAAAGAACAACTTGTGTTTTTGCCATCGTGCGTACATCTTCTAGTGAAGCATACATAAAAAACAATATAAACCATTTTTAAGGACAAATATAGAATTTACTCTGGTGTACAAAATGGTGATACCTTCAGATCTATTGTGGGAAATGATATTTTTACCGGCTGATACAATGATACTTGATTTTGATGATTGAGGTGATTCAACCTTCATTTCTGAACACGTTTCTTGGATTGACACCGCCAAATCTGACACCTATTGCTAATATGACTATAATAGGCATCAGCTGATCATAGAGAAAGATTAATGGTATCAACTGAAAGGTTGAACAAGTCTGGTGACAGAATTAAGGACAGTAGAAGAACAATGCTGGAAACAGAAGAGTTTGGCGTTTCGATTCTTCAAGATTTGCATTCACAGAGACAATCTCTACTGCATACACATGATTCGGTAACTTTGTGTTTTGTGTTGTTAATAAAATGCTCTTCAGAATTTCACTTTACTATTGCGTTAACTTAGTTTGGCATGCAGCATTTGTTTTACTTATACCTTTGGACTTTTAGTAATGCGAGAAATCAGCTCAGTTTTATCCGAGTTTTATACTTGCCAATTCTCATCTAGCATTTGTGGATTGCGTTTCATAGTTTTATTAATATTTTCTGCTCATGGGTTTTACTTGCATTGATGGTTATATTTCCTCATGGTAGCTTCATGGAGTGGACAATAACATCAGCAGGAGCAAGAAAATTTTGTCTAACATGTCAATAAGGATGAACAGGAACAAGTGCATCTTGAGCACCATTGGTGTGGTCCTGATTGTTGTTATCATCTTGATTCTATACTTCAAACTTTCATAATAGCTTTCCAAATCATTTCTAATTTGGTCATGAGACTTGGTCCATTCTCAATTTTCTATTACAAGTAAATTGACAGTGGTGACATACCTAATAGCAGTGATACAATGACTCCTTCAGAAAATGACAAACTCGAGGGATGTTTTGTCCTCCTTTGTTTCCTCAATTACCATTGTTCTGCTCTAGTTAATTGATACCAACAGAAAAATGTGCAAAAATTAGAAATTATTTCCACCTACAATCCTCCTATTTACGGTTTAATAATATATCTAGATATTAATACTTTGCGTTATTAAATTCCAATCGAATCGGTAAAATTAAATCGACCAAATTAAAAATCATCATGAACCGGTTTAAACTGCTTCAAACCGTGTAAAACCACGTTAATTCGAATAGTACTAGACGGTTCAACCAATGAGTCTGAATAACATTAGATCATTCAAACTCAATAACCGATGTGATCTTATTTGAATTTGCACTGATCCGAATGCCCATTTTCTGGCCTCGATTGATTTTGCAAAATATTTAAAATTGAGTCTCAATAATGAATTCCTACAATGGAAACCACTATATTTTGGAACTGAAGCTCTTATTATTCTATTTATTACACACTCAAAATTCTTCGATGAAGGAAAACGCACCAAATAGCACTTCCAATTCATCACTAACACTTCACGGATGAAAACATGGCATATTTTCTTAAGCCAACAAGATAATCGTATAAACTGTGTGATTGACTGTTTGGAACATTCTCATTAAATGTCCTCAGTAATTTTCAAGCAGAATATGGAATCCTGAGGGCCATCCTTTGAGCCAGCCAAGGTTTCTCTGGTTCTGGATCAATGAAAGGATGCGAGAGGAACTGCATAGCTTCTTCATCCAACAATTCTCTACACCATGTTACTCGTCTCGATGGACAGCAACCAGGTCCAAAACACCTATAGTTATATCATAAATTTACATCAAACTTCTTGAACTCAACAAAGAAATTTTGCATTCAAGGCAAGTAAAAAGTGTTTCCATTAAATATGGATGCCACACAACCTCCAGCATATTCATGATGTCAGTAGAACACATTAAATTATTTATTCAAATCAAACTACTTAAGTTTGAATCTTCTGGAAACATGAAGCAGTTTACTATCTGAATATAACAAAAACCTATATTTATAATGGTTGCAGACTTGCAGTAATCTAGAACTGTTTCATATCCTGCAAATCATAAAACAATCAAAATAGAAATTCGCATGTACTACCTGTATTCATAAAAGCAAGCACTTCTCTCATTCTCCACATTCCCCCAGTTATCCCAGCCATCATGCCTTATACATTGATCCATGTACGTGTATGCAAAGACCACCCTTCCAAAAGGTCCCCATGGTCGTCCAAGGCATGCATATGAATTTCCTCCATTACCTGTGATAACACATCTGCAATGGCACCAGAGACCACTCAAGTAAAATACTTGTAAGGAATCAAATGGTCCAAAACGATATAAGAAGGTTTCGTGAACAGGGAGACTTACGACCTATTTAGATCATGTTCCTATCAAACACATTCTTTTCAACACACTATTATTACCAACGCATTCACAATTTCACCAACCATTACCACAGCCATATTGCTCACCAAATCTCATCAGAATTTCAGTCATGGTTGCCTCTACAATCACCAATAAAAATTGTGATTTTTGTCACTGCCCATTTAGGCTATAGCAGTAAATTCTTTTGTTTACATAGATTTATACATAAGACATATTAGAACAGAAAGATATAGAATCCTGTCAGAAAACCAACTGGAGCCAAAATATGGAGGCATCTAATTACGTGGTTGAGTTGAGATACATCAGAATTTCAGACAGGTCAGAATATGTTAAACTAATCATTGCTCAAGCGGGTAAATTTTAGCTCCATCGTCAATTTTTCAAATCCATTTTTCCACCCTATTTTCTTCAGTACAACGCTCAAGATGGGTTGCCTTCCCTTCCTTTTCTAGTTTTCCATATAAAACCCCACTCCCAAACATATCCTAAGAAAAAACATGATCATAAGAACAAACTCTTTCCTTGTTGAACAGTTAAAGAACTTCTAAAGACTAAAACACAGTAATAGGTGGTAGATGAGATTGTTAACACTATAAAGTTGTCAATTACACACCTCAAGAATACATAACCAGTTGTTTCCTTAGATGATTTTCTGCCCTGTGCGGTTATGAAGCCTTCAGACTTGCAGTGGATGTGACAGTGCTCCAAAAGGGCAGTGCTATTACCAAAGATGAAGTCCACACTTCCTTCAATGTAGCAATCTTTCAAATATTGTTTACCATAATGCAAGTACAGTGTGTCCTGCACCATAATCATTGAAGAAATTTATCCACTTTTAACTTCGATAAAATGTCCTTAATGAAACAGAATCGGTTGCTTGAACATAAGACAAGCTACTCTGCTGATCATGGCCCCAAGTTAATTTAAGATACCATTCTTTTCAAGAAAATGAACCAGAAAAGTGACAATCATAACTTGCACTGGAATACATCCATCAAAGCTATCACTTAACCGATGCATTTTTAAAGATCATAATGTGAAGTTTTTGAGGTCTTAAATTTTTTTCAGCAATTCACATACATATATCACCAACACATAAAATCATGAAGACCAAACCTATTTAAACTAAGACAACAAGACAGAGGACCTCTGGACCTACCTGCCATCCAAGGAACCTGCAATTGTAGAAGGCACATCGATCTGCCGTTACTCTAATTGCAACTGCTTGCCCTGAACCCTGCCAGAAAGAGAAGGAAAAGGAAGGAGCAATGAATAAGATATTTCACAGCTTCTGCCTTTAAATATATTTATATTTAGTCTCCATCAAACATGATGTAGGTGTATAAAACACCAATACCAAACCATCTAATGAATTTACAACCAGATATTTGAGACAAGGAAAATGATAACTGTTAATGGATCTGTATTCTCTATCTTCAGCAATTGGCCGATTCAAAATGGAAAAGCTTCAAATTACCATTATTCTTTCTCTCAAATAAACAACACGTTCATAGCAAGGCAATAACAGGCCATCTACATGTATCAACTGTCAACTACTGACAAAGGGGAGGGAAACGATCCAAATTGAAAATATATTTATTCATCAAAGTGAACAAGTGATAACAAAGAAACAAGCACATGCAAAAACCTTGACAACAACAAAAACCTTATCTCACAAGGAGATGTCACTGTATATTAATTTTATCTAACATTTTGGATGAATCCAGTGTATCTCCAGTCGGGAGCCAAAGATTAATTCTCGGAGGTACTTAGATCCATTCAATGCTTGAGACACACCACAAGCAAAAACCTTGAAAACACTGAAATTTCATGACATAAGCAATGCATTACCTGAGGAGAAGAATTCTCAAAAGTAATGTTCTCAGCAATAAAGTCCTCCCCTTCCACAATGATACTTCCACAACCAAACGTCCCGGTCCCAATCAGCCTCGCAGGCTGCAACAAAAGTCGTTTTTTGACACACCCACAATTCAAACGAAGAAACGATCAGAACAAATTAACAATTTTGACACACACCCACTACCCGAAACGACGAGAAGATTTTAAAAGTGCGTACTTGGTGGTGATCAATTCCGGATGAAGTGTTGTTCCATGTGAGCACAGTGTCCTCGGGACTGAGAGCGGCGAAAGTGATGAAATTCTTGGTCTTGGGGACGTAGACGGGTTGGCGGTAGATTCCCGGCGAGATACGAATGACCGTCCGGCAAGTGTTGCCGAGCGGCACGGCGTCGATTGCCTCCTGCACCGTTCGGAAATCGGCGGTTCCGTCCTGTGCCACCGTTAATATGCAAACTGCCATTCTGTAAAGAGAGCGGATAGATTTTGGTGGCAGAAAGAAAACGGAATATTTAACGCACGAAACGAAAAGTGAGTCACTCAAATCTCAGAGTAACGTTCATAGAATGAATGAGAATAAAATGTTGTTTGGTTTTTGCTGTCTAAAAGGTAAGTGAGGTGTCAACAGTTACAGTGTTGCTGTGGCACGTTTTGGTTTCCTCAATCTCATCTACTAAGTACTAACTGCACTTCATTAGATTCCTCGGCGTCAAGGATATTTTTTAAAATAAATAAATAGCATGTTGTAACTTTCTTATCATAAGGCGTTGTTGAAAAGTTAAATAATTTTCCTCTAAATTTTTTACCTTAACTTTATATTACAGTGTAGTTTATTAATTAAATTAAAATTTAGTTGAAATTACTAATCTTATTATATCTATTTTATAAAAATAAGATATCTCGGGATTATATTTGAAATTGATAAATTATCTAAATGATTCATGTTAAATTAAGAAAATTCAATATCTAAACTTCTAAACAATTAATATAATAATTAATTATTTTTTTTATATATCGATCTTGTATATCTCACATAAATCTAAAAATAAAAATAACATGTTTAACATGTATGCATTTTACACTTAAGAAAATGTGTTGGTTGTATATTTGTTCCATAATTCAACAACAACCAAAGTTTGTAGTTAAACCTTGTGGTTAGCATGCTAATTCATTAATACTACTATATTATACCTTTATTGCTATTTTGACAGACAATTAAAAGGAAGGGGTGTATGGTGTGTATATATTATACCTCTACTGCTATTTTGACATACAATTAAAAGGAATGTGTGTTTATTTAGGATTTATGTTCAGGAGAGAGGGGATAATATTCAGTAAAATAATAAGTTTAGAATTATAAAATGCAATTAGACCTCAATTAGATTTTATTTTATTTTTGTTTGTTCCTGAACACTGCTCATAACAGTGACTAATCTCCTCGTTATGTTGGAGGCACGAAACACGAACCACCCCATAATATCTTTCATAAGAAGATTGACTAACCCATAAGAATGAAATCTAAAATATGTAATTTAGGATCCCAATGAAACCCCCCTAGACGCTAGAAAATCTGCAACATTATTACCCTCTCGAACTACATGCAAAACACAAACATGTAACTCCTTTTGAATCCACAATCTAATAATAGAGACCATGGTAAGGTACGGGTGAGTGTCACTCACCCCAGGAGTTACAAATTGCACAGCCAACTTGTTATCACTCTCAATCCATATGAAACGATATGCTTGACTCCAAGCATTTTCTAGCAAAGAAAGAATCCCCCATAGCCCTACGTACCATCAGAACACTAAACAAACCAATATTACGAACAAAACTAAGGATCCATTTGGCATCCTCATTGTGAAACACACCAACACAACCCGCATTACGACCTCCATTTATAACTAATGCATTTGAATTAACCTTAATCTCGGGACTATGTGGTGGCTGCTAGAAGACTTTAACCGATCATGCAGTTCGACAAAGCAAACAATCCAATTGTAACCAAAGCACACCACTTGATGTTTAGTGACTATGAAACGCTCGCTGGCAAACCTCATGTGCTATACCTTGGGGCTGCAAGGCCTCACATGCAAAGATGAATTTATTCATGTGCTGCCATAACACATGAACACAGACAACAAAAATGAAAAACCATGGCAAGCCCCTATATTCAATCACTCGGCTAAGATTATCCTAAATCCACACCTTCAAACTAAGAGATATAAAGAAAAGCTTAGGGAGATGGGGACAGACTATGTTCCAAACTAGGTGTGCATGCTGACAGTCCTTAGCCATATGAAGGGATGATTCCTCATGGGAACTACAAGTCATGCAGATTGCACTATTTGTTATCCCCCGCACTTCACGAAAGCCATTGGTGAGGACATCATCATTGAGTAACTTCCAAACAAAGAGTGAATCACATGGGTGTAATAGTAGCCTCTAGAAAAATGGCCAAAAACTACTTCCTACCACCACATCAAAACCACACAGCAGCGCATACATAAATCTAGTAGAGAAGGTACCATCCAAGGATCTATCCCACGCAAACCGATCAAGACCAAGCTCCTCCATTGGTGGAAGCATACCGAGAATCTCAATAGAAAACTTGGGGGAGGGGGAGGGGAAATGATGGAACAGGGTAATATCCCATGAGCCATTTTGCATATATAAAAACTCAATGGTAGCTCCAAGTCCTCCAATATGGCTCATAGATAGCAACATCCTTGAGAATAAACCTGGAAGGGAGCCACTTGTCGGTCCAAAAAGGAACCATGCGCCCATTCTTAATAACCCAACGACCTCCCCTTAATAGGTCATTCCAAACTAAAGAAATACCATTCCACAAGTGTAACCCATGACAACCTCTACACACAATGGTGATGTTTTGTGTACCACATCCATACTTACTTTTTAAAACACGTACCCATAATGCCTCAGGATTGTTAATAAGACCTCAACTAATCTTCATGATAAGAGCACATGTCTCACAACTCAAGTCCAACAAGTTGCTTTGGCAGACAAAACTTATGCTAAGCAATAGTATGGCATTTATGACTATCTTGAACATCACCCCACATAAAACTACGAGTCAAGCTCTCCAACTTATGGCAAACTTGCTTTGGAAGGAGCATCATATGTGCATAGTACAAGTTGGTAATGCCACCACAACGGACTTAGCCAGAGTACACCGACCAACAAAGGATAGATTTGTTGCTCGCCAATTACTCAATTCATGTTGAGTTTTATCAAGCAAAAATTGATACGTGGCTTTCTTTTTCCTCCCATGGAGCAAGGGACCCCGAGGTATTTCCCCAAGTCGCTAGTAAGACAAAACCTCGAGATATGACTTAGTTCCATGACTAGAAAGCAAGGAATATTCCCAAAAACCAAAAGATGAGACTTAATCACAGACACTCGTTAACCTGAGGAAGCACAAAATGAATTTAAGCAAATATTAATCAAATCCATTTGGTTCACATAAGCCTCTGCAACCAAAAGTAAGTCATCCGCAAAAAATAAATGTGAGATACGCAGGTCATTCCTAGATAATTTAATAGGTTTTCATGTATTACATGCAACCTCTTGCTCATTCAAATGTGTAAGCCTATCCATACACAACACAAATAAGAAGGGTGATAGTGGATTACCCTAGCGGATCCCCCTAGCTGGGTAGAAACTCTCAGAAGGAACACCATTAAATGGTACCTACATGTTAACACAAGACGCGTAAGCCATAATGAACTGACAAAAATGTACTCCAAAACCCACCCTTTTTAGAGTATTTAAGATAAAGTTCCAACGTAGATGATCATACGCGTTCTCCAAGTCTACTTTTACAGCCATAAAACACTCTTTCCTTGTTTCTTATGGAATGAAAAATCTCATGAGTAATGACAACATGGTTAATCCTATGTGTTGCTAGGAATGAAATTGCATTAATTGAGACCAATTAAATCCGACATAATCAACTTCATCCTAGTTGCAATAATCTTGGTAATGGTTTTATAAACAACATTACAAAGACTAATAGGACAAAATTGACTCATATAGTCATATTAATAGGAGCATCACAGTTGGGGATCAACACAAGTAATGTATCACTAATATCTTTCATGTATTTAGGATCAAAAAAACACTTGTGTACTATTTCACATATAGAAAGACCCACAATATCCAATTTGATTGAAAGAAGACAAGGTGCAGGTCCTCGATCGAGTCTTGGTGTCTTGAAGGGCCTCATATAGAAAACAACATCGTGAATCTCCTCAATTGAAAAGAGTGCCTCAATCTCATACAAACGATAAGTTTTTATAGAAAGAAAACATTTGGGAGGATACCAAGGAACACCATCCCCCTCCTTCGGGTATAAAGCTTGGAAATGATCTACTAACCTCCCTCATTGGGTCAAATAAGGCTTCAAATGTTAACAAAAGTAAAGATCAATCTTTAAAGTATATTGAGATGCATTTTTTAAAATTAATTTTTTCTTATGATCAATTATATGTAATAATTTTAGGAATTATATCAAAAAGTGAATTAAAAATTTTAGTTATTGATAAAGAAAATAAATATTCAAATATATAGTCTAATATTATTTACAATTTTTTAAATAATTTATAACAAGTTAAAATATATTTTTTAATATTATTTTTAATTTATTGTTAATGTTATTATATTTTATATCTATTATTTTTGTTGATTTTATAATTAATTAAATATTATTTTATTTAACTAACTAAAATATAAATCGTGTATTAGTAAGTGTTATTTAAATCCAAACCTCATGATAGCTACTCTTTGGTAAAGAAGATAATCCATATTATTGGTACCATGAGGTATCTTGCTCTTATGTATTTCGAAAAGCAAATCAAATCGCAGATTTTTCAGTTAAACATGATCGTAATTTGAAAGATAGAATTATTATCTTTTCGGATTCTCCTTCTTGAATCCATTTTCCTTTACTTGCTTATTACCGAAAAAAAGAAAAAAGTAAGTGTTATTTTAAACACTCAGAAAGAACTGCAGATATTAAAAAATGGGGTGGAGTTTTTTTTCTTTTTAAAATCGGTTGGAGTTGAAAGCGGTGCTTTAGGAAGCAAGTAGCAACAACAAAAGCGGTCTAAGTTAGCAGCGGCGCATGTTGTTCCTCTCTCCATGTCCATGCGCCTTCGTGCTCTCACTCTTCCCTTCAAACCCAAACCTAAACCCATCAATACCAAAACCCTTTCAAAGCCATTCGCATCCACCGCACTCGCCCACTCCCACTCCGACTACGACGCCCCTTCCTCCACCCTCCAAGTCCTCCAAACCCTCCACCGCCTCCACGACCGCCCCGCCGACGCCCTCTCCTTCTTCACCC